TTATGTATTTACCTATCTATCCTCTATCTATCTATCTATCATCTATACTTATTTATTTATTTATTTACTTTTCTATCCATTGTCTGTCTGTCTGTCTATCTATCTATCTATCTATCTATCTATCTATCTATCTATCTATCTATCTATCTTATCTATCTCTATTTATTTACCTTTCTATCATGTATTTATCATCTTTATCTCTTTATGTATTTACCTATCTATCCTCTATCTATCTATCTATCTATCTATCTATCATCTATACTTATTTATTTATTTATTTACTTTTCTATCCATTGTCTGTCTGTCTGTCTGTCTATCTATCTATCTATCTATCTTATCTATCTCTATTTATTTACCTTTCTATCATGTATTTATCATCTTTATCTCTTTATGTATTTACCTATCTATCCTCTATCTATCTATCTATCTATCTATCTATCTATCTATCTATCATCTATACTTATTTATTTATTTATTTACTTTTCTATCCATTGTCTGTCTGTCTGTCTGTCTATCTATCTATCTATCTATCTTATCTATCTCTATTTATTTACCTTTCTATCATGTATTTATCATCTTTATCTCTTTATGTATTTACCTATCTATCCTCTATCTATCTATCTATCTATCTATCTATCATCTATATCTATTTATTGATTTATTTACTTTTCTATCCATTGTCTATCTATCTATCTCTATTTATTTTTCTTTTGGATCATTAAGGTCTTTGCCTGGCTTCAAGATGGCGATGACTCTTGCTTTCCTCCAGATTTTGGGGATCTGACAGGATGCTGTGCAGTTGTTCATCAGCTCCAGCAGCCAGCGCCTTGCTTTTGGACCAAAGTTCTTGATTTGTTCCATCCGTAGATCATCCAAGCCAGCTGCTTTGCCATTCTTACATTTGTTGAGAGCCATGTCCAATTCAGTGGATGTAAAGGGTTCATGAAGGTTGCTGTTCTCAATCTCTTGTTGTCTGGCTATTGGTTTCTTTCCTACTTTGGTGGCAAAGTTGGGTTTCCCGTTCTTCAAGAGTTGGTGTGGTATCTGATCTGCCTTTATGTTGGCATGGGTATGAGTTTGTGAGGGGTCATTGCTCAACCATCTTAGCAGCCTCCACGCCTTCTGGCTGCTCCTGCCCATGTCGACCTCTGTGATCAGCTTGATCCACTGTTCTTTCTTGGCTTCAGAGATGGAGGACACAATGCTCTGCGCTGCCTGAAGGGTTTGCTCACTAAATGGGTCTTCGTTGTGGAGCCTGTAATAGTTTTCCAACAAGGCAGCTGTTTCAGGAGTAATGCCCTGAAGGTAGTTGGTTCTGCAGCCTCTCGGTATGGAGGCCCGTGAGCAACGACCCAAAAAGCTACAGACCAATCTCCCTGTTGTGCCACCTCTACAAAGTTCTGGAGAGACTTATTTTGCATAGAATTATGGAAAAACTAGACCCATGTCTGATCCCACAGCAAGCTGGCTTCAGAAAAGGCAAAAGCTGCACATCGCAAGTGTTGAACCTGACTCAGCACATAGAAGATGGCTTTGAAAGGCAGCAGATCACAGGAGCTGTCTTCATAGACCTGTCAGCAGCCTATGATACTGTGAACCACCGCCTCCTCCTGAGAAAAATGTATAATATCACAAAGGACTACCACCTCACCCGCCTCATAGGAAACCTGCTACAAAACAGGAGCTTTTTTGTTGAGTTCCAGGGCCAGAGAAGCAGATGGCGGAAACAGAAGAACGGCCTGCCTCAGGGGAGCGTGCTTGCTCCATCCATGTTCAACATCTACACAAATGACCAGCCACTGCCAGAAGGGACAGAGAGTTTCATCTACGCTGATGATTGTGCCATTACTGCTCAAGCAGGGAGCTTTGAGATGGTAGAACAGAAGCTTTCCAAAGCTCTGGGTGCTCTTACTGCCTATTACAGGGAAAACCAGCTGATCCCCAACCCATCTAAAACACAGACATGTGCCTTTCATCTCAAGAACAGACAAGCATCCCGAGCTCTGAAGATCACCTGGGAAGGAATCCCACTGGAGCATTGCAGCGCACCCAAATATCTGGGAGTCACTCTGGACCGTGCTCTTACCTACAAGAAGCACTGCCTGAACATCAAGCAAAAAGTGGGTGCTAGAAACAATATCATACGAAAGCTGACTGGCACAACCTGGGGATCACAACCAGATACAGTGAAGACATCTGCCCTTGCGCTGTGCTACTCTGCTGCTGAGTACGCATGCCCAGTGTGGAACACATCTCACCACACTAAGGCAGTGGATGTGGCTCTTAATGAGACATGCCGCATTATCACGGGGTGTCTGCGCCCTACACCACTGGAGAAATTACACTGCTTAGCCGGTATTGCACCACCTGACATCCAACGGGAAGTAGCAGCCAATAGTGAAAGGACCAAGGCAGAGACATCTCGAGCTCATCCCCTGTTTGGGTATCAGCCAGCACGTCAATGACTTAAATCTAGACATAGTTTTCTAAGATCCACAGACACACTTGCTGGAACACCTCAGCAAGCAAGAGTCCAAAAATGGCAGGCTCAAACCCAGAACCTCAACCAATGGTGGATACCAAATGAGAGACCCCTGGGCACACAGAAAACTGGGCGACTTGGAAGGCGCTGAACAGACTGCGCTCTGGCACCACGAGATGCAGAGCCAACCTTCAGAAATGGGGCCACAAAGTGGAATCCACGACATGCGAGTGTGGAGAGGAGCAAACCACTGACCACCTGCTGCAATGCACCCTGAGCCCTGCCACTTGCACAAGGGAGGACCTTCTTGCAGCAACACCGGAAGCACTCCAAGTGGCCAGATACTGGTCAAAGGACATTTAATTAACTCTCATACTCACAAATTTTGTAATCTGCTTGTTTGCTTTCTTCTGTTAGAAATGTAATATAATTTGACTGGTTGTTCTGACACGACAAATAAATAAATATCTCTATTTATTTACCTTTCTATCATGTATTTATCATCTTTATCTCTTTATGTATTTACCTATCTATCCTCTATCTATCTATCTATCTATCTATCTATCTATCTATCTATCTATCTGTCATCTATATCTATTTACTTTTCTATCCATCGTCTATTTATATATTTACTTTCTATCATCTATCATCTATATCTATTTATTATTTACCCCTCTATCCAGCGTCTATCATCTATATCTATGTATTTACCTTTCTATCGTCTATCTATCCTCTATATTTATTTATTTACTTTTTTATCCGTCGTCTGTCTGTCTATCTATCTATCTATCTATCTACCTTTCTGTCACCTATCTATCCTCTATATATATTTACCTTTCTATCTATGTCTATCTATCTATCTATCTATCTATCTATCTATCTATCTATCTATCTATCTATCATCTATATCTGTTTATTTATTTACCTTTTTATCCATGTGTATCTATCTATCATCTATATCTCTTTATGTATGTATATATTTATGTATGTATGTATATATCTCTATTTAGTTATTTACCTTTCTATCATCTATTATCTATATATCTCTATCTATCTATCTATCTATATTTATTTTTCTATCATCTATCTATCATCTATATCTATTTATTAATTTACCTTTCTATCCATCGTCTGTCTGTCTATCTATCTATCTATCTATCTATCTATCTATCTATCTATCATCTATGTATGTATTTACCCCACATTTCACGCAATCTATGGCAGGCATCCTCAGAGGTTGTGAGATCTGTTGGAAAATGGGCAAGTGGTGTTTTATATATGTGTGGGATCTCCAGGGTGGGAGAAAGAACTCTTGTCTGCTTGAAGCCAGTGTGAATATTGCAGTTGGCCACCTTGATTAGCACTGAATGGCTTTGCAGCTTCCAAGCCTGACTGCTTCCTGCCCCGGGGGGGGGGGGGGTTGTTGAAACTGCTTTGAACTGGACTCAAATAATCCAGTTCAAAGCAACCAAAGTGCTGTTCCAGCAGTCACCAGACAATCCCTCTCCAATGCCAGAAATATAGTTTAATGTTATAACATTAGAAAATGTTGACCACTTCCACTCCCTTGGCAGCCACCTCTCCACAAAAGTCAACATTGACACTGAAATACAACACCACCTGAGCTCTGCGAGTGCACCATTTTTCCAAATGAAGCAGAGAGTGTTTGAGGACCGGGACATCTGTAGGGACACCAAGGTGCTTGTTTATAAAGCCATTCCCCTCCCAACCCTGCTATACGCCTGCGAGACGTGGACTGTCTACAGATGTCACACTCAGCTCCTGGAACGATTCCAACAGTGTTGCCTCTGAAAAATCCTGCAAATCTCTTGGGAAGACAGGCGGGGAAATGTCAGCATGCTAGAAGAAGCAGAGACCACCAGCATTGAAGCGATGGTCCTCCACCATCAACTCCGCTGGACTGACCACATTGTCTGGATGCCCAATCACTGTCTCCCAAAGCAGTTGCTCTACTCCGAACTCAAGAACGGAAAACGGAATGTTGGAGGGCAGGAAAAGAGATTTAAAGATGGACTCAAAGCTAATCTTAAAAACTGTGGCATAGAGACTGACAACTGGTAAGCCCTGGCCCTTGAGTGCTATAACTGGAAGTCAGCTGCGACCAGCAGTGCTGTGGAATTCGAAGAGGTATGAATGGAGGGAGAAAGGGGGAAACGTGCCAAGAGGAAGGTGCATGAAGCCAAACCTGATTGGGACCACCTTCCACCTGGAAACTGATGTTCACACAGCGGGAGAACATGCGCGTCAAGAATAGGGCTCCACAGCCATCTATGTATCCTACACTTGGAAGGCCATCATATTCGGGCAACGAGAGATCGCCTAAGTAAAGTAAGTAAAGGGGCCTGAATGGGTGCTGGAAGGACCCCAAGGGTGTTCCCTAATGGAGTGCCAGCCTCGTCGTCTGCCTTGAGATGCTGACCGAGGACACCAGCCCAGCCCAGCAAAGCATGCACCGTGAAAACTGGACAACCGTTCAGAGAAGAACACTCCTCCGTGCTTTCTATGCATACAATCCTTTATTAAGCAATGGCAAGAAATCGGGCACTGCAGGCGCATGGCGTGGTCTTGGCTGTCTCCTTCTCTTCCCTGCACAGCAGGAGCCGAGTCCAGTTTGGGTCACAACTGATCCGTTTGAGTGCTGGTTCCAAAGAAAAGAGAGTAGGAAATGCAAGATGTTAGAGAAATAAAGACAGAACCATCAGCAGCTGAACAGTTGATCCTCCCTCCCTCCCTCCCTCCCTTCCTTTATTGGAAAGCAGGTTTGTGGTGGGAGCATCTTTTGGAACTCAACCACCTCCTGCACAAGCTTGTAGTCCTCATCAAGGACTTAGATGGTCAGATGAGTTAGGGCCTTTCCACACAGTCATATAACCTGGAATATCAAGGTAGATAACACACAATACATGTTTTGATATTGTGGGCTATCTACCTTGATATTCTAGGTAGATAGCAATATTGTTGACCGTCACCACTCCCGGCTCTGAAGGAGCTGGGGGTGGTTACGGCCAACAGGGAGCTCTAGCGTGGGCTGGTCCATGAGGTCATGAAGAGTCAGAAACGACTGAACGAATAAGCAATAATCCGCTTTGAACTAGATTATATGAATCCACACTGCCGTATAATCCAGTTCAAAGTGGATTTCATTCAGCTGTCTGGAAGGGGCCTGAGTTGGCAGGGAAAAGCCCTTCCCACATTGGCCTGTCTGCCTGCCATTCTGTTTCCTCCTCCTATCGCTTTTCTTATTTGACGAATACTTCTCAGGGTGGATCTGCACTGCCAAATAACATCTGGGTAACCAAGATGGTAGACCCTTTGGGCGGAAAGTCCTGCTGCTTAATGCCAGGTTGGTAAGTTGGTAATCGTCCGGGGAGGCCCTGCTCTCGGTCCCGCCGGCATCACAAGCGCGGCTGGCGGGGACGAGAGACAGGGCCTTCTCGGTGGTGGCCCCTCGGCTATGGAATGCCCTACCAGCGGACATCAGGCAGGCCCCTTCGTTGCTGGTGTTTCGGAGGAGGGTTAAGACGTGGCTCTTTGAGCAGGCGTTCGGATAGCTGTGCAATTGCAATTAAATCCAGGAAGACGGCATAACTGAACAAGGAATGGCAATGGAATGTGAGAACGGAATCTGATTTTATGTGAGGCGTTGATGTTTATATGTGTGTCGTTTGTTTATGTTTGTCTTTACATTGTTAGTGTGCACAACTTTTACTGTAAACCGCATTGAGTCGCCGGGCACGGCTGATAAATGCGGTATACAAATAGCGTAAATAAATAAATAAATAAGTGGAAAAACAATGGGCATCCAAGATCTGATCTTGGATGAGCATGCCGACCTGGCTTGCATTACTGAGGCCTGGTTGTGTATATGTGTGTATGAATCTCCCCCAACTCTGTCCACCGGGTTTCAGCAGCAGGAAAGACCCAGGGGGTGCGGAGAGGAGTTGCAGAGGTCTATCAAGATTCCAACCACCTGGTCAGGTACTTTGTCCCACATTTGAGTGCGTCTACCTAAGGGTGAGCAGCCAGAACAGAACAGGGATTCTGTTGGTGTACCGTCCACCCCGCTGCTCAACAGTCTCCCTGTCTGAGCTAGCCGGGGTGGTCTCAGGCCTGGTGTTGGAGTTCCAACGCCTAGTCGTGCTGGGGAATTTCAACATCCATGTCGAGACCACCAGAAGATGAGGAAGAACTTCCTGACTGTGAGAGCTGTTCAGCAGTGGAACTCTCTGACTCGGCGTGTGGTGGAGGCTCCTTCTTTGGAGGCTTTTAAACAGGGGTTGGATGGCCATCTGTCGGGGGTGCTTTGAATGAGATTTTCCTGCTTCTTGGCAGAATGAGGTTGGGCTGGAAGGCCCACCAGGTCTCTTCCAACTCAAGGATTCTATTATTCTATCTCTGCATAATTAAAATCAAGGGTTAGCCCCCTCCTTGTTAATATTCTGCAGGAAGTTAAAGACCTGGCTATTTAAGAAGGCATTTGATCAAGAAGTGCAATGACTGGTAATTGACCATAGGAATGGAACAACGGAAATGATATCGGATTGTGGCTTGACGATGAGACGATTCGGAATGTAGTAGTAAATTTGTAGTAATGTTGTTGTCTGTTAAGATGTTTTTATGATTATGATGAATTGTGGATTATTTTACACTATGTTTTGTAATTTGCACTTGTTTTTCCATGTTGTACACCGCAATGAGTCGCCCTTGGGCTGAGAATTGCGGTATATAAGCGCAGTAAATAAATAAATAAATAAATAAATAAATAAATCTGCTTGGTTTTAATTATTTTAATTCTTCTCATATCAATATTATATTAATTACTAGCTGCACCCACCATGCGTTGCTGTGGCCAACCTTCCCTCCCTCTTTGTCTCCTTCTTTCTTTCTCTCCTTCCTTCCTTCCCTCCCTCTTTCTTTCCTTCCCTCTTTTTCTTTCTCTCCTTCTTTCTTTCTCACCTTCCTTCCCTCCCTCTTTCCTTCCTTCCCTCTTTTTCTTTCCCTTCCTCTTTCCTTCCTTCCCTCTTTTTCTTTCCCTTCTTCTTTCTTCCTTCTCTGTTTTTCTCACTTCCTTTGCTCTTTGGATCCATCCTTCCTTCCCTCCTTCCTTCCTTCCCTCCCTCCCTCTCTCTTTTTCTTTCCCTTCTTCTTTCTTCCTTCTCTATCTGTTTCTTTTCTCGCTTCCTTTCCTCTTTGGTTCCATCCTTGTCTCTTTCCTTCCTTCCCTCCTTCCCTCTTTCTCTCTTTTGTTCCATCTCTCCTTCCTTCCCTCTTTCACTTTTTTATTTTCTTCTCTCCTTCTTCTCTCCTCCTTCTCTCCCTCCTTTCCCCTTTCTGTGTATGTGTTTTGTGTGTGCACATATATGTGTGTATATATTTGATATTTGTGTATATATGTGTTTATGTATGTGTTTTTGAGCATGCGTTGTAATTAATTTTTTTGTTTTTTGGCTTTTTAAGTCTCTTCTGCTGTATATTTCTGTGTTTTTATGAGTGATGGTCACTTGTTGACCTGTTCGGTGTGTTGTTTCCAAATTTGGTGTCAATTCACCCAGTGGTTATTGAGTTATGTTAATCCCACAAACGAACATTACATTTTTATTTATATAGATAGGGTAGCTTAAGGGTCCTTAGACAGAAATAAATAAATCCAGCCCCATTTTTCAAATGGAAAAAAAGGTAGTGAATTCATGCTTCTTTTTTTGCAGAAGACGGGAAAAGAAAGCAAATTTCTTTGTCAAATCCATGCAATTAGCGAGGAGAGAACTGTGTTTGTTATGCAAACCATCCCTTTGGTCTTTCTCAGTACAGGAAATGAAACATTGGCTTCCAACGCATGGAAAGTTACCTTATTTTGCCAGAGACACTCGATATGTCGGATCTTGAATATGATCTAGAATGTGAGAAGCATTAAGAGATTTAGAACACACTTTTTTGTTTTGAAAAAAAATTGGAAAAAATTTGTTCTACACAACAGTGGCAGCTTGAATAGTATATGCTAGATATTGGAAAACCCCAGAGATACATCCTTTAGAAGAATGGGAAAAAAATATATTACAGATATGCTGATAATGGACATAATAACTGTATTATTAAGAGGAGAACTATTAGGTAACTTTGTTAATGGATGGCAACCAATGATTCAACACCTTAATGTAAAATTAAACTAAAAATGTATATAGAGGATCCTATGAGAGTGTAGACAAGGATGAAGAAGATGTAAAGTAACAGTCTATGATATTTTATATGTATTATTTAGACTAGCTGCCCCCTGCCATGCGTTGCTGTGGCCCAGTCTGTTGATCTGGAAAATAAAGTAATGAGAAAGTGTTGGTTCCTAATATATGTAATTTTTTTCTGCTTGTGTGTAAACAGTATTTCTTGTTGTTTCTCTGTCAGTGTTGATGTGGAGATTGTCTGGTTTGCCTACCCTGGAACATGCAAGATGACATTGTCCTTCTTTAAGGGTCCCTTTCAAATCTATGATACTATATCTCTCTCTGTGTGTGAGAATCACACATATCTCTCTATATCTATGGCTGGATGGCTCTTTGTCAGGAGGGCTTTGATTACATTTTCTTGCCCCGGTGAACGGAGTTGCACTGGATGGCCATAAGTATTTTCTGTTGGTCACGGGGGTTCTGTGTGGGAAATTTGCCCCAATTCTGTCATTTGTGGGATTCAGAATGCTCTTTGATTGTAGGTGAACTATAAATCCCAGTAACTACAAATCCCAAATGTCAAGGTCTCTTTCCCCCAAACTCCATCTGTGTTCATATTTGGGCATATGGAATATTCGTGCCAATTTTGGTCCAGATCATCATTGTTTGAGTCCACAGTGCTCTCTGGATGTAGGTGAACTACAACTCCCAAACTCAAGGTCAATGCCCACCAAACCCTTCTAGTATTTTGTGTTGTTCATGGGAGTCCTGTGTACCACATTTGGCCCAACTCCATCATTGGTGGGGTTAAGAATGTTCTTTGATTGTAGGTGAACTATAAATCCCTGCAACTACAACTCCCAAATGACAAAATCATTTTTTTAAGTGAAGGACATACATTGGGTTGTTAGGTGTATGCTGTCCAAATTTGGTATCAATTGGCCCACTGGTTTTTGAGTTCTGTTAATCCCACAAACGAACATTTGTTGTTGTTGTTCATTCATTCAGTTGTCTCCGACTCTTCGTGACCTCATGCCAGCCCACGCCAGAGCTCCCTGTCGGCTTTCACCACCCCCAGCTCCTTCAAGGTCAGTCCAGTCACTTCAAGGATGCCATCCATCCATCTTGCCCTTGGTCGGCCCCTCTTCCTTTTGCCTTCCACTTTCCCCAGCATAATTGTCTTCTCTAGGCTTTCCTGTCTACTCATGATGTGGCCAAAGTACTTCAACTTTGTCTCTAGTATCTTTCCCTCCAGTGAGCAGTCGGGCTTTATTTCCTGGCGGATGGACTGGTTGGATCTTCTCGCAGTCCAAGGCACTCTCAGCACTTTCCTCCAACACCACAGCTCAAAAGCATCGATCTTCCTTCGCTCAGCCTTCCCTAAGGTCCAGCTCTCACATCCGTAGGTTACTACAGGGAATACCATGGCTTTGACTAGGCGGATCTTTGTTGCCAGTCTGATGTCTCTACTCTTTACTATTTTATCGAGACTGGACATTGCTCTCCTCCCAAGAAGTAAGCGTCTTCTGATTTCCTGGCCACAGTCTGCATCCGCAGCAATCTTTGCACCTAGAAATACAAAGTCTGTCACGGCCTCCACATTTCTCCCTCTATTTCCCAGTTGTCAATCATTCTTGTTGCCATAATCTTGGTTTTTTTGATGTTGAGCTGCAACCCAGCTTTTGCGCTTTCTTCTTTCACCTTGATTAGAAGGCTCCTCAGCTCCTCCTCGCTTTCGGCCATCAGAGTGGTGTCATCTGCATATCTGAGGTTGTTAATGTTTCTTCCAGCAATTTTCACCCCAGCTTTGCATTCATCCAGCCCCGCACAGCCTCGCATGATGTGTTCTGCATACAAGTTAAAAAGGTTGGGTGAGAGTATGCAGCCTTGCCGGATGCCTTTCCCAATCTTGAACCCGTCTGTTCCTCCGTGGTCAGTTCTGACTGTTGCTCCTTGGTCCTTGTACAGATTCCTCAGGAGAGAGACAAGGTGGCTTGGGATGCCCATCCCACTAAGAACTTGCCACAATTTATTATGATCCACACAGTCAAAGGCTTTCGAATAGTCAATGAAGCAGAAGTAGATGTTTTTCTGAAACTCCCTGCCTTTCTCCATTATCCAGCGGATATTGGCAATTTGGTCTCTCGTTCCTCTGCCTTTTCTAAACCCAGCTTGAACATCTGGCAACTCTCGCTCCATGTATTGCTGGAGTCTTCCTTGCAGGATCTTGAGCATTACCTTACTGGCATGAGAAATAAGGGCCACTGTACGGAAGTTTGAGCAGTCTTTCACATTTCCCTTTTTTGGTATGGGGATATAAGTTGATTTTTTCCAGTCTGATGGCCATTCTTGTGTTTTCCATATTTGCTGGCATATGGCATGCATCACCTTGACAGCATCATCTTTCAAGATTTTAAACAGTTCAGCTGGGATCCCGTCGTCTCCTGCTGCCTTGTTGTTAGCAATGCTTCTTAAGGCCCATTCAACCTCACTCCTCAGGATGTCTGGTTCTAATTCATTCACCACACCGTCAAAACTATCCTCAATATTATTATCCTTCCTATACAGATCTTCTGTCTAGTCTCGCCACCTTCTCTTGATCTCTTCAGCTTCTGTTAGGTCCCTGCCATCTTTGTTTCTTATCATACCAATTTTTGCCTGAAATTTACCTCCAATGTTTCTAATTTTCTGGAAGAGGTCTCTTGTCTTCCTATTCTGTTGTCTTCTTCCACTTCCATGCATTGCTTATTTAAAAATAGTTCCTTATCTCTTCTGGCTAACCTCTGGAATTGCGCATTTAACTGGGCATATCTCCCCTTATCCCTGTTTCCTTTTGCTTTCCTCCTTTCTTGGGCTACTTCCAGTGTCTCAGCAGACAACCATTTTGCCTTCTTGGTTTTCTTTTTCTTTGGGACGTACTTTGTTGCCGCCTCCTGAACAATGTCTCGGACTTCTGTCCATAGTTCTTCTGGGACTCTGTTTACTAAATCTAGTCCTTCAAATCTGTTCTTCACTTCCACTGTATATTCGCTAGGAATGTTAGTGAGATCATATCTAACTGGTCTGTGTTTCCCTGATCTCTTTAGTTTTATTCTAAATTGGGCAATAAGAAGTTCGTGATCTGAGCTACAGTCAGCCCCAGGTCTTGTTTTCACCGACTGGATGGATGTCCGCCACCTTTGGCTGCAAAGGATGTAGTCAATCTGATTTCGGTGTTGACCGTCTGGTGAGGTCCATGTAAAGCCGTCTTTTAGGTTGTTGGAAGAGAGTATTCGTTATACACAGCGAGTTTTCCTGGCAGAATTCTATCAGCCTGCGTCCCGCTTCATTTTGTTCTCCCAGACCATGCTTGCCTGTGATTCCAGTTGTCATTTGACTTCCCACCTTGGCATTCCAGTCTCCTGTAATGAAAATAATGTCTCTTTTTGGTGTATTATCCAGTAGGTCCTGCAGATCCTCATAGAACTGATCTACTTCTGCTTCTTCAGCAGCTGTGGTTGGGGCGTATATTTGGATCACTGTAATGTTGAAAGGCTTTCCTTGCACTCGAATTGAGATCATTCTGTCATTTTTTGGGTTGTATCCAAGCACCGCTTTAGCGAATTTCTTATTAATTATGAAGGCTACTCCATTTCTTCGATGTTCCTCTTGTCCGCAGTAGTAGATCTGGTGGTCATCTGATGTGAAGTGGCCCATTCCAGTCCATTTCAGTTCGCTGACCCCCAGAATGTCCATCTTTAGTCTTGACATCTCACCAATAACAACATCCAATTTGCCCTGGCTCATAGATCTTACATTCCAGGTTCCTATGGTGTGTTGATCTTTAGAGCATCGGATTCGTCGTTCACCTCCAGTACCGTCGGCCGCTAGCCTTCCTTTCGGCTTTGAGCTAGCTGCGTCATCACATCTGGGGCTAGTTGAACTTATCCTCTGCTCCTCCCCAGTAGCATTTTGGCCATCTTCCGACCTGGGAGTCCCATCTTCCAATGGCATACCGACATATCTCTGGTTGTACTGGTCCATTTAGTTTTCTTGGCAAGGATACTGGGGTGGTTTGCCGTTGCCTTCCCCAGGGATCACGCTTGGTCTGACCTCTCAGCCACGACCGTCCCGTCTTGGGTGGCCCTTCACGGTTTCGCTCATGACATCATTGAGGTGCTCAAGCTCCAGCGCCACAACACGGCGGTGATCCTTTGCTGGAGCAAACGAACATTACATTTTTATTTATATAGATAGTGAACTGTGACCCCTTAATGGAAATATATTATCAGATAGATGAATATGGAACATTAATAGATAGATAGAGAGTATTGCACTGTATGCAACAAACACTTGCAAATGTATGTCTGCTTAAATAAAATTAAAAATTAAAAAGAAAGAAAAACTAGTGCCAGGGGAAATAAAGACACTAAATAGGCTTTTTTAAAAAAAAGTTTTTGAAAAAGATTTACACAACAGTGGCAGCTAAAAAAGCCAGTGGGATTTTGTCCTGCATCAATAGGAGCCTAGTGCCTAGATCTAGGAAGTCATGCTCCCCATGCTCTCTTCCGCTTTGGTTAGACCACACCTGGAATATTGTGTCCAATTCTGGGCACCACAATTCAAGAGAGAGATTGACAAGCTGGAATGAGTCCAGAGGAGGGCGACTCAAATGATCAAGGGCCTGGAGAACAAGCCCTATGAGGAGCGGCTTAAGGAGCTGGGCATGTTTAGCCTGAAGAAGAGAAGGATGAGAGGAGATATGATAGCCATGATGTATAAATATGTGAGGGGAAGTCCTAGGGAGGAGGGAGCAAGTTTGTTTTCTGCTTCCCTGGAGACTAGGACACGAAACAATGGCTTCAAACTACAAGAGAGGAGATTCCATCTGAACACGAGGAAGAACTTCCTGACTGTGAGAGCCGTTCAGCAGTGGAACTCTCTGCCCCGGAGTGTGGTGGAGGCTCCTTCTTTGGAAGCTTTGAAACAGAGGCTGGATGGTCATCTGTCAGGGGTGATTTGAATGCAATATTCCTGCTTCTTGGCAGAATGGGGTTGGACTGGATGATGGCCCAGGAGGTCTCTTCCAACTCTTTCATTCTATGATTCTATGATTCTATTTTTAAATGTATCCTACGTTTGATCTTTCAAATCATGGGCAGAAAGCACGGGCAGAAATCATGGGCAGAAATGGTGGCGCAGTGGGTTAAAAGCCGGCAGGACTGAAGACCGACAGGTCATAGGTTCAAATCTGGGGAGAGCGCGGATGAGCTCCCTCTATCAGCTCCAGCTCCCCATGCAAAGGGGATGTGAGAGAAGCCTCCCACAAAGATAGTAAAAACATCAAAACATCCGGGCAACATCCCTTGGGCAACGTCCTTGCAGACGGCCAATTCTCTCATACCAGACGTGACTTGCAGTTTCTCAAGTTGCTCCTGACACGACAAAAAAAAAAAAAAAAAAAAAAGCAGATCGAAACAGAAGATATCCGAAGTATTAAAGGTCTCATCCGCCTCCAAATTGGGCCACTTGAAACAGATCTTGTTTACTTACGCAGTTTCGTCCTCTGAGCCCTCAAATTCTGCGCAGTAGTCGCTGATTCGCTTCCACTTGACAAGTAAAATGACCAACAAAATGATGACGGGCAGAAAAAGAAAGATGCTCAGCAGCACCCAAGTCCGCATGTTGTCTTCGGCGGCTCTTTCCGCAATATCTAGAGATGAGGAGATATTGGAAATATAGATATTTATGTATAAATTGTATGTACTTTACAAGCACTGAAATGTATAGAAAAATCAGGCTCTCTCTGTATAGAAAGAATGCTAACAGGACAAGCAAGCTGCTGTCCAGGCACAGCAAGAGGGGGGCTGAACTGGGGGGGGGGGGGGCATGTTATCTATACGTTCCAGGAGAGAGATAAGCCTGTTCTAGTTGCAACAGACTGGTACAACTAGGCTCTAAGGAAAGAGCCAATGCCTCTCCCTCCTGACAGGTCAAAGTTAGGCCCCTTGATTGATGAATGTAAGCTGAATGCTTGCTCTTTAGAAAGACATGCATGTCGGAAAATAGAATTTGATATTCTTATGATGCTAAGATGACGTAATGAATGAGGTCAATGTATGTAGACGCATGTTCTTTGTTTGCTTGCATTTGAAGGCTATAAAAGGCATAGTCCGCACCTATGATTTTTTTTTTCCTCGTGTTCAGATGGAATCTCCTCTCTTGTAGTTTGAAGCCATTGTTTCGTGTCCTAGTCTCCAGGGAAGTCTGACTTGGCCATGGTGGTACACGCTCTGGTCACATCCCGCCTTGACTACTGCAACGCTCTCTACGTGGGGCTGCCCTTAAAGACGGCCCGGAAACTTCAGCTAGTTCAGCGCGTGGCAGCCATGTTACTAACAGGAGCGGGACGCAGGGAGCATACAACGCCCTTGCTGTTCCAGCTCCACTGGCTGCCGATTTGCTACCGGGCCCAATTTAAGGTGCTGGTGCTATCCTACAAAGCCCTAAACGGTTCCGGCCCAAAATACCTTTCGGACCGCATCTTGGCCTATGAGCCCACGAGGACCTTGAGATCGTCTGGGGAGGCCCTTCTCTCGATCCCGCCTGCTTCACAGGCACGTCTGGCGGGGACGAGAGAAAGGGCTTTCTCGGTGGTGGCCCCCCGGCTGTGGAACGACCTCCCTGCTGACATCAGACAGGCGCCTTCCCTTCTGTCCTTCCGAAAGAGCCTGAAGACCTGGCTATTTGAGAAGGCATTCAACTGAGCGCTACGGCAACTGGTAATTGACAACTGGAACGGAATACGGATTACGATATTGGTTATGATTCTATGATGTGACGGAGCGGATTATTTAGTGTAACTAGATTATAGTGTATTATTGTTGTATTGATTCCCTGTTTTGCCCTTTTTGTAAACTGTTTTTATATGTTGTGCACCGCCGCGAGTCGCCCTAGGGCTGAGAGCGGCAGTCAATAAATGCAGTAAATAAATAATAAATAAATAAATAAATAAATATATCATTGCTCTGGATGCTTTTGGACATAGTCCACTCCAGGGTCCCAGCTGGAAATAAAATCCGTGCTTTTGAGACCTCCGGACCTCTCTTTGTCTCTTTTCCTGAAACCTTCTCCCTGCCATTTCACTAGAATGGAAATACATGGCACAGCAGACTGATTTAAGCAGTCTGAAACTTTCCGTAACCCTCCCCATGGGATCACAATAACACATCCAACGTCTCATCACCAGTTGTGTTAAAACCGGTCAACTTTTAGCCGCTGCATCACCGGGAACCCATATAAACAGATAAGCTGGATAATCTGAAGCCTTGCCTTGGATAAATTCATGTCTTAAGTACCTTTTTGATTCATAATTCAATTTTTACCTTGGAAGCTTCTGTATTTGTTTTTCACGAACTCTGATGGACTAATTTCCTGGACTATTTGTTCCTACATATCTTTCTACCTAATTGGGTTTACCTGTTTTTATGGACTGCCTTTTTATTTCAACAATTTCAACAGAAAGGAGGAAACCATGAAAATGAACAAAATCTGGCTACCAGTATTTAAAAAAACGGCACAACAACAGAGAGGAAACAAACAAGGACATCTAATCACCTCTCAACAAAAGTTGGTGCCAGGCACTGTCAGGCCATTATATGCTAATCAAGGTGATCAGTTGAAACATTCACACCTAGCTCCAGCACATAAGAGTCCTTTGTCCCACCCTGGTCATTCCACAGATATATAAACCCCTTTTCCTAGTTCCAACAGACCTAGCTCCAGCAGACAAGAGTCCTTTGTCCCACCCTGGTCATTCCACGGATATATAAACCCCTTTTCCTAGTTCCAACAGACCTAGCTCCAGCAGACAAGAGTCCTTTGTCCCACCCTGGTCATTCCACAGATATATAAACCCTTTTTCCTAGTTCCAACAGACCTAGCTCCAGCAGACAAGAGTCCTTTGTCCCACCCTGGTCATTCCACAGATATATAAACCCTTTTTCCTAGTTCCAACAAACCTCACTACCTCTGAGGATGCTTGCCATAGATGCAGGCGAAACGTCAGGAGAGAATGCCTCTAGAACATGGCCATATAGTCCGAAAAAACCTACAACAGCCCAGTGCTTTTTTGTTGCTACTGCTTTTAAATATCTTCAAGGAACTGCTCGCATTTTTACTCAGCTGTATGATGTTTAAAGTCAGAGGGCTTTCCTGGCCTGGAGTGCAGCACTCCAGCACAATCACACAGTCACACCTAGCTCCGTAGTTGCAGGCGAAACGTCAGGAGAAAATGCCTCTAGAACATGGCCATATAGCCCGGAAAACCTACAACAACCCAGTGATTCCGGCCATGAAAGCCTTCGACAATACATCACACAGTCAACTTCTGCCGATTGTAATAGAGCAATGTAGTAGTAGTAGTAGTAGTAGTAATTTTTCTAGATTAGCCCTTAGGCCATATCACAATAAGAAACAGAACAACAAGGCCTGACAAGACCCAATCATATTCCACGTAAATAGAGAAATGTAATTTCGAAGGCTTTCATGGCCAGAATCACTGGGTTGTTGTAGTTTTTTCGGGCTGTATGGCCATGTTCTAGAGGCATTCTCTCCTGACATTCTCTCTGAGGATGTGTTGCATTCCAGAACAGGAAATGGCCCCTCTGACTATAAACACACCGCATGTTGATTGAAGGAACAATCTTTTTTATTAAAGCTTAGCAAAAAAAAAAAAAAACGCCAGTAGAAATAAATGCTTGTAAAGAAAGTTAAGATTCCAAAAAGCAACAAGGCATTTAAAGGCAGGAAGAAGACACAGTGTCCAAATGTAACATTCAAAAGCAATGTTCAAAAAGCATAGAATAATATTCCAAGGCACTGATAATCCAATCAACCAAGAAGCAAGAATAGACCAGACACTGCTAGTCAAGTTGAAAGGCTAGAAAAGACCATGAAGACTCGATCACTTGAACAGGAATTCCATGAGGCTTGTGTTTGGTTTCCAAACAATGCCTGATCTGACAAGATTTTCTACAGGCAAACCTTAAATCCCAAGAACTGGTTTTGTTTTCCCCCAGTCTTTGACTTCAATTGATGAATTCTTTCAGATTTACGTAAACATTGGGCCTCTTGTCGATTCTGGGTAATATCCAGCCACCGATTCTGCTTTTCTGACTCCTCATTAACTTTACCAGGTGTCAGACTGTTTTCCAAACTAGAATCTGGAGAGCTCACAGGTGGAGGGAGTAAACCTTTCTCCCAAGGCCTGACCAAAAGATTCTCATGAGAATCTGCCCTTTGCACCGAAGCCTCTCTGTCAGTGTCTGCATGAAACTCATTGACCAAAGTGTCTCCATCTTGCACCTCAGAGTCAGTCCCAGCATCCCCCACATCAGAAGCAAGTCCCCACCCTCCTCATTACCCACATCAGATACAGAAACATCAGGAGACTGAAACACATTCACAGGTTCAAGCAGAGACTCAGCTTCAATCACAGGCTGAGTCCCAACAGGATGCTTGCCACAGATGCAGGTGAAACGTCAGGCGAGAATGCTTCCAGAACATGGCCAGGCAGCCTGAAAAACCTACAAGAACCCTGTAATAAAGCATTTATAGAATCCTAGAGAAATGATCCATGAGCCCATGATCCATTGGAGGACCTAGAAATCCCTCGGGGGAACATTTTAATAAAATATTCAAATGATTATATTTGAAAATGTGGAAGGGCTGACTCTATTTTGAGTTTAATAGACACTGTCAAGATTAATGTTCCAGAGTCAAAAGTGGAATAAAAGGTGGGTTCAGATTCTGAGGAGGGATTGCAGTGGGACTCCTTTGCTTCTTGTGCCTTTGTCATATTGGGACAGCGGACTTACCAGCTGACAAAATGCGAAGCCCGCTGTCCACGCTTCCTCCCAAGGGACTTCCTTTAGTTTTGCAATTTGGAGGGGACCATCCTGGATCGCAGTGGCAGTTCTTTTTGTTGTTGCACAGCTGAGGAGGAAAAGAGAATTATTATCATTTATTGTCTTAGCAAGGTGCAGATGGGAATCTCGGGCCCTACACCACCAAAGGGTTGTTGTTGTTCATTCATTCACTCGCTTCCGACTCTTCATGAACTCATGGACCATCCCAGGCCAGAGCTCCCTGTTGGCCGTCACCACCCCCATCTCCTTCAAGGTCAAGCCAGTCACTTCAAGGACGCCATCCATCTTTATTTATTTATTTATTCATTCATTCATTATTCGAACGTATATGCGGCCACTCCCCTGGGGCTTGGAGCAGCTTACAAGAATAGGCTAAAATCTAACACAATTTAAAAGCAATTTAAAACAATTTAAACACAGCAGTATCAAACATTAAAAGCCTGTCGAAACAGGTATGCCTTACATGCCCTGCGGAAAGCTGGTAGGTCCCGCAAGGCACGGACTTCAGGTGGCAGAGTATTCCAGAGTAATGGTGCCACTGCTGTGAAGGCTCTGCGCCTGGTTGCTGTTAGGCGCAAGGTCTTGACATTGGGAATTTCCAATAGATCTTGGTCCTCAGAACGGAGGGATCTCTGGGGTTGGGAGGAGGTGAGGCAGTCCCTCAGGTACATCGGCCCCAGACCATGCAAGGCCTTCAAGGTGAGTCCCATCCTTTTGAAAGTGATCCAGTGCTCAATGGGCAACCAATGCAGCTGGAGTAAGATTGGTGTGATGTGGCATCTCATCGGAATTTCCGCAAGAAGCCGAGCAGATGCATTTTGTACCAGCTTGAGCTTCCGGATCACCGACAGAGGAAGGCCAATGTAGAGGGCGTTACAGTAGTCCAGTCTGGAGATGAGCGTGGCCTGGATCACCATAGCTAGGTTGTCCCTGGACAGGGAGGGGGTGAAAGAAGGCAGTTCTGCCGCAGGTGAAAGAAGGCGGTTCTGCTCACGGCGGAGAGAGACCTGGGCCTCCATCGTCAGCACAGGGTCCAAAAGGACTCCCAGACACTTGACCAACAGTGACGGGCGTAGCGCCATGCCATCCAGGGTAGGCAGCTGGATGTCCCCACTGCCCGGTTGACCCAGCCATAGGATCTCCGTCTTTGCTGGATTCACCCTCAACCTGCTGGCACGCAGCCATCCAGTCACGGCCTCGAGGCACTGAGGGAAGGAATTGGGGACAGAGTCCGGTCGGCTTTCCATCTTCAGCACCAGCTGAGTGTCATCAGCGTACTCGTAACACTCAAGCCCTTGCCCTCGGTCGGCCCCTCTTCCTTTTTCCTTCCATTTTCCCCAGCATCCTTCTCTTCTCTAAGTTTTCCTTTCTTCTCATGATGTAGCCAAAGTACTTCATCTTGGCCTCTACTATCCTTCCCTCCAGTGAGCAGTCGGGCTTTATTTCCTGGAGGATGGACTATTTGGATCTTCTCGCAGTCCAAGGCACTCTCAGAACTTTCCTCCAACACCACAGCTCAAAAGCGCCTCTCTTCCTTCGCTCAGCCTTCCTTAAGGTCCAGCTCTCACATCCGTAGGTTACTATGGGGAATACCATTGCTTTATCTATGCGGACCTTCGTTGCCAGTGTGATGTCTCTCCTCTTCACTCTTTGATCGAGATTGGTCCTTGCTCTCCTCCCAAGAAGGAAGCGTCTCCTGATTTCCTGGCCACAGTCTGCATCTGCAGTCATCTTTGCACCTAGTAATACAAAGTCTGTCACGGCCTCCACATTTTCCCCCCATATTTCCCGGTTGTCAATCATCCTTGTTGCCATAATCTTGGTTTCTTTGATGTTTAGCTGCAACCCGGCTTTTGCGCTTTCTTCTTTCACCTTGATGAGAAGTCTCCTCAGCTCCTCCTCGCTTTCGGCCATCAAAGTGGTGTCATCTGCATATCTGAGGTTGTTGATGTTTCTTCCGGCAATTTTCACCCCAGCCTTGCATTCATCAAGCCCCGCACATCCTCACATGATGTGTTCTGCATACAAGTTGAATCAGTTGGGTGAGCTGGTCCATGAGGTCACAAAGAGTCGGAAACGACTGAATGAATGAACAACAACAACAACAACTCTCACCCAACCACCAAAGGGTAAAATAAAATAAACCCAACCTGTATGAATGGAGGAGGCTGTATTGTCCAATGACTGGGAAGTCCCAAACAGTTGGGAGACCAGAATCTGAGAACCATTGCCTTAGGGCAGTGTTTGGGACCCTTGGGGAGGGGGTTGCAAGGGGGGTGTCAGAGGGGTTGCCAAAGACTATCAGAATATACAGTATTTTATGTTGGTCAACATTACAACTGTACCCTTGGTTCGCTTCTGATATAATAAATAAATGGGGATTCTCTGTGGGAAATTTGGCCCACTTCAATCCTTGGTAGGGTTCAGAATGCCCCTTGACTCTAGGTGAACTATAAATCCCAATAACTACAGCTCCCAAATGTCAAGGTCTATTTTCCCCAAARTCTGCCAGTGTTCACATTTYGACATATTGGGTATCCATGCCAAGATTGGTCCAGATCTATCACTACTTGAGTCTGGATGTAGGTGAACTACAACTCCAAAACTCTCAAGGTCAATTCCCACCAAACCCTTCCAGTATTTTCTGTTGGTCATGGGAGTTCTGTGTGCCAAGTTTGGCCCACTTGTATCATTGGTGGAGTTCAGAATGCTCCTTGATTGTAGGTGAACTATAAATCCCAGCAACTACAGCTCCCAAATGTCAAGGTCTATTTTCCCCAAACTCTGGCAGTGTTCACATTTGGGCATATTGAGTACCCGTGCCGAGATTGGTCCAGATCTATCACTACTTGAGTCTGGATGTAGGTGAACTACAACTCCAAAACTCTCAAGGTCAATGCCCARCAAACCCTTCCAGTATTTTCTGTTGGTCATGGGAGTTCTGTATGGAAAGTTTGGCCCACTTCTATCATTGGTGGAGTTCAGAATGCTCTTTGATTGTAGGTGAACTATATTGAGTATTCGTGCCAAGATCGGTCCAGATCTATCACTACTTGAGTCTGGATGTAGGTGAACTACAACTCCAAAACTCTCAAAGTCAATGCCCACCAAACCCTTCCAGTATTTTCTGTTGGTCATGGGAGTTCTGTATTGAAGGTTTGGCCCACTTCTATCGTTGGTGGAGTTCAGAATGCTCCTTGATTGTAGATGAACTATAAGTCCCAGCAACTACAGCTCCCAAAATGTCAAGGTCTATTTTTCCCAAACTCCACCAGTATACTGTTCACTTTTGGACATATTGATTATTCGTGCCAAGATTGGTCCAGATCTATCACTACTTGAGTCTGGATGTAGGGAAACTACAACTCCAAAACTCAAGGTCAATGCCCACCAAATGCTTCCAATATGTTCTCTTAGTCATGGGAGTTCTATGTGCCAAGTTTGCTTCAATTCCATCATCGGTGGAGTTCAGAATGCTTTTTGATTGTAGGTGGACTATAAATCCCAGCAACTCCCAAATGACAAAATCCCCAACTCCACCAGTATTCAAATTTGGACGTATTGGGTATATGGTCCAATGAATATTTACATTACGATTCATAACAGAAGCAAAATTACAATTGTGAAGTAGCAACGAAAATAATATTATGGTTTGGGATCACCATGACACGAGGATCTGTATGAAGGGGTTTACTTACACCGTGTCCGGAGCATTTTCTAACAGGATCGCAATCGTATTTCAGGATGTTGGCTTTTTCACATACTTGTCTGATGCAAACCTGGAAGTTCAAAAAGGGAGTCCTCAGATTTTATATGACTATTCATAAGTCTCGTCTCATCATTCCCTACTGGAAGATTTCTAGCTCCTTGAGACAGAAGCCTTTGCTCCAAAGTACTAGAAATCTTCTAGCAGAGAATCTATCTCAAACTAAAACTGAGAACTATTTGATTCAATATTTCCCTTCCAAAATGCTGTATATACATTGGCAACACAGTTGTGGGGACCATGGTAGCACAGCAATCCACTAGCTGCAAAAACTTGCTGACCGGAAGTTCGGCAGTTCAAAGTCGCAAGTCGGGGTGAGCTCCCACCTGTCAGCCCCAGCTTCTGCCAACCTAGCAGTTCGAAAACATGCAATGTGAGTAGTAGGTTGAACGCTCCAATGCAGCAACGCGTGCAAAACACGTCCAGGAACGTCTACGGACAACAGGCTCTTCGGCATGGAAAAATGGAACAAGAGCGCCTCCCCCTGGCCAGCGTTGAGCATCACCTCCAGATGCCGGAGATGGAAAGGGAAACCTTTGCCTTCGTTTATATTGTATGTCATTGCTGTTACTGTATAAAAGGCATTGAATATTTGCCTATATATGGGTATACTGTAATCCGCTCTGAGTCCTCTTGGGGAGATAGACTGGAATATAAATAAAGTGTTGTTGTTGTTGTTGTTATTGTTGTTGTTGTTGTTGTATTGGAGCCCCCGGTGGTGCAATGACTTAAATCCTTGTGGAGCAAGGATTTAACTCATTGCACGAAAGATCAGCAGTTCGAATGAAGAGAGCAGGGTGAGCTCCCATCTGTCAGCTCCAGCTTCCCATTCAGGGAAATGTGAGAAGCCTCCCACAGGATGGTAAAACATCCGGGAATCCCTTGGGCAACATCCTTGCAGACAGCCAATTCTCTCACACCAAAAGTGACTTGCAGTTTCTCAAGTTGTCCCTGACATTATATATATATATATATATACACACACATATATATAATATTTGCATTATTAATGGTGATGATGGTACAGGTTGAGCATCCTTTATCTGGAATGTCAAAATCTGAAATACTCCTAAATTGTCTGCATTTGGTTTGAGATATGAGATCTTTTATTTCTGATGGTTTGACATAGGCAAGCTTTGTTTCGTGCACAAAAAAACCCAGTAAAAATATTGTATAAATTGCATTTAAGGCAGGCATAGGCCAACTTCGGCCCTTAAGATGTTTAGGACTTCAAGTCCCACAATTCCTAACAGCCAGTAGGTGTTTAGGACTTCCAGTCCCACAATTCCTAACAGCCAGAAGGTATTTAGGATTTCAAGTCAAGTCCCACAATTCCTAACAGCCGGTAGGTGTTTTGGACTTCAAGTCCCACAATTCCTAACAGCCAGTAGGCGTTTAGGACTTCCAGTCCCACAATTCCTAACAGCCGGTAGGTATTTAGGACTTCCAGTCCCACAATTCCTAACAGCCAGTAGGTGTTTTAGACTTCAAGTCCCACAATTCCTAACAGCCAGTAGGTGTTTTGGACTTCAAGTCCCACAATTCCTAACAGCCAGTAGGTGTTTTGGACTTCAAGTCCCACAATTCCTAACAGCCAGTAGGTGTTTTGGACTTCAAGTCCCACAATTCCTAACAGCCAGTAGGTGTTTTGGACTTCAAGTCCCACAATTCCTAACAGCCAGTAGGTGTTTTGGACTTCAAGTCCCACAATTCCTAACAGCCAGTAGGTGTTTTAGACTTCAAGTCCCACAATTCCTAACAGCCAGTAGGTGTTTTAGACTTCAAGTCCCACAATTCCTAACAGCCAGTAGGTGTTTTAGATTTCAAGTCCCACAATTCCTAACAGCCGGTAGGTGTTTAGGACTTCCAGTCCCACAATTCCTAACAGCCGGTAGGTATTTAGGACTTCAGGTCCCACAATTCCTAACAGCCAGTAGGCGTTTTGGACTTCCACAATTCCTAACAGCCTAACGGTAGGTGTTTAGGACTTCAAGTCTCCGTTAGGAATTGTGTGAATTGAAGTCCAAAACACCTGGATGGCCAAAGTTTGCCCATGCCTGATTTAAGGTGTATGCGAAGGATAAATTAATGTCATGTTCAGACTTGGGTCCCATTTCCAGAATATCTCATTACGGACTTGTATGCACATACAGGTATTTTTTAATGAAACCCAAAATATCCTCTTACCTTGTCGACTCCGCATTTTGTGCCTTCTCTCACCAGCATCGGGTCTGGAAACCCTTCCAACTGTTGAAGGTCCAAAGATATACAAATGGTATCTTTTACTGGGGTGTACAGGACCGGGACCTTCAGTTTAGTGAAGGGAACTGTGTACGGATACACGCAAATCAACTTCCCGCATCGGATATCCCTGCCAAAGGCATTCAGAGAAGAGAAGTGAATTGCACAGCTTGCCAGCGGCTGGAGGGATACATAGGACAAATGCCACATTTCCTGCCTCTGTGTTACCAATTGGGCTACATTACTATGTCAATCTATATAAATAAAAATGTAATGTTCATTTGTGGGATTATCATAACTCAGAAACCACTGGACGAATTGACACGAAATTTTGACACAATACACCTAACAGTTCAGTGCTTTGGTTAGATGACACCTGGAATATGGTGTCCAATTCTGGGCACCACAATTCAAGAGAGATATTGACTCTAAGCTGGAATGTGTCCAGAGGAGGGCGACTAAAATGATCAAGGGTCCGGAGAACAAGCCCTATGAGGAGCGGCTTAGGGAACTGGGCATGTTTAGCCTGAAGAAGAGAAGGCTGAGAGGAGATATGATAGCCATGTATAAATATGTGAGAGGAAGCCACAGGGAGGAGGGAGCAAGCTTGTTTTCTGCTTCCCTGGAGACTAGGACACAAAACAATGGCTTCAAACTACAAGAAAGGAGATTCCATCTGAACATGAGGAAGAACTTCCTGACTGTGAGAGCCGTTCAGCAGTGGAACTCTCTTCCCTGGAGTGTGGTGGAGGCTCCTTCTTTGGAAGCTTTTAAACAGAGGCTGGATGGCCATCTGTCAGGGGTGATTTGAATGCAATTTTCCTGCTTCTTGGCAGGGGGTTGGACTGGATGGCCCATGAGGTCTCTTCCAACTCTTTGATTCTATGATTCTATGATTCTAGTGTTCATCACCCCTAAAAAATACAAAAAACCCCAGCAGAACGGACTTAAACCCCCCAATATATACACATATATATATATATATATATATATATATATATACACACATACACACACACACACACACACACACACACACACATAGAAGCCCTATATACACCTCCTATCACATCAGCACTTTTAATCTTTGTACCCATTCTCTGGCCCGGCCCACTTTTATTGTGTTTTAGTGTATTGTGCCTGTTGTTTATTTGCTTTATTCTGTTTTTAATTGTTTGATTTGCTTAGATTGTATTGTTGTGTTGTGTGTTGAGGCCTCGGCTTGTGTAAGCCGCATCGAATCCTTCGGGAGATGCTAGCGGGGTACAAATAAAGTTTAATAATAATAATAATAATAATAATAATAATAATACACACACACACTCATATACATAAACACATGCACACATACATACACCTATGTACAGTATATTCTGGTGTATAAGACTACTTTTTAACCCAAGAAAATCTTCTCAAAACTCAGGGGTCGTCTTATACGCGGCTGTAGTCTTATGCATGGGAGTCGTCTTAACTCTATATTTTAACTGGAAAAGTTGGGGGTCTTCTGATACGCCCAGTCGTCTTATATGCCGGAATATACGGTATATATATATATACCCAAGCACACACAAATACACACACACACACACATACATCTACATACACACATGTATACATATACACATGCACACATACATGTACACAAGTATAAACACAAATATGCATATAGACAAGCACACACATAGACACAATATACATATATAAAAACTCAAATATATCTTGGTAGAATTATTGGTTGCTTCCATTCCGTAAGAGAAATTCAATGAAGAATTTCCTCCTTAAATATAGCGACTCTGCCACAGAAGATGCTCACGCCTCTTCCCCCCCCCCCCCCCCCCCCCCCCCCCCGAATATATGGATTCCTTAAACACATACGGAGAAGCGCAAGGCTTAAATCCCATTTTGGGATCCGTCCCACAATGTCCAAATCGATCTGCCTGGCTGTTGATCTCTTCGTAGCACGCAACTGGAGCATTCTTTGAGCCTATAAATATTGAAATAGAAATGTGTTAGATTATTTTAAAAACACACACATTTTTACCTTCTATATCAGCATTTCTCAATCTGGGGATTTGGCCCAGATCCATCGTTGTTTGAGATAGGTGAACTACAACTCCCAAACTCAAGGTCAATGCCCACCAAACCCTTCCAGTATTTTCTGTTGGTCGTGGGAGTTCTGTGTGCCCAGTTTGGTTCAATTCCATTGTTGGTGGGGTTCAGAATGCTCTGATTGCAGGTGAACTATAAATCACAGCAACTAAAACTTCCAAATCTCAATCATTATTTTCCCCAAACCCCACCAGTGTTCACATTTGGGCATATTGTGTATTTGTACCAAGTTTGGCCCAAATCCATCGTTGTTTGAGATAGGTGAACTACAGCTCCCAAACTCAAGGTCAATGCCCACCAAACCCTTCCACTATTTTCTGTTGGCCATGGAAATACTGTGTGCCAAGTTTGGTTCAATTCCATTGTTGGTGGAGTTCAGAATGCTCCTTGATTGTAGGTGAATTATAAATCCCAGCAACTACAACTCCCAAATGTCAAGGTCTATTTTCCCCCAAACTCCACCAGTGTTCACATTTGGACATATTGTGTATTTGTGCCAAGTTTGGTCCAGATCCATCTTTGTTTGAGTCCACAGTGCTCTCTGGATGTAGGTGAACTACAGCTCCCAAACTCAAGGTCAATGCCCACCAAACCCTTCCAGTATTTTCTGTTGGTCATGGGAGTCCTGTGTGCCAAGTTTGGTTCAATTCCATTGTTGATGGAGTTCAGAATGCTCTTTGGTGGTAGGTGAACTATAAATCCCAGCAACTACAACTCCCAAATGACAAAATCATATTTTTTTGAGTGATGGTCACTCCTTGTGTTGTGAGACGTTATGTTGCTAAATTTGGTGTGATTTCGTTCATTGTTTCTTTTGTTTTTAAGGTACTCATTATACACAGAGCATTTATATATAAATAGATATATATATACACACACACATATTAATTTTTGGGCTTTTACGTCTCTTCTGCTGTGTTTTCCAGCAGATGATGGTCACTCGTTGAGTTGTTGGGTGTCTTGTGGCCAATTTTGATGTCAATTCGCCCAGTGGTTTTGGAGTTATGTTAATCCCACAAACGAACATTACATGTTCATTTATATAGCTCTATCTATAGCATTTCCTAAAGACATGTGGGCACACGCATCGCGTACTCCCAGAAGAGAGGCGCTTGCTTGGTATTGTTTAAAACGGGTGAGAGTCAAGTTTTTATTTATTTACTTCATTTATTCATTCTCAGCCCTTGGGCGACTCAAAGTGGTTAACAATAGCAAAATTCAACGTTCAACATCATAAAAACAGTTAAAAAAAACAATTAAAACAATGACATAATATTGTCGAAGGCTTTCATGACCGGAATCACTAACTTGTTGTAGGTTTTTTTGGGCTATATGGCCATGGTCTAGAGCAGGGGTCCCCAAACTTTTTGAACAGAGGGCCGGGTCAAAGTCCCGCAAACTGTTGGAGGGCCGTATTATAATTTGGAAAAAAACATGAATGAATTCATAGAATCATAGAATCAAATCATAGAATCAAAGAGTTGGAAGAGACCTCATGGGCCATCCAGTCCAACCCCGTACTGCCAAGAAGCAGGAATGTTGCATTCAAATCACCCCTGACAGATGGCCATCCAGCCTCTGTTTAAAAGCAAGGGAAAAGCAAGAGGGGCCGACCAAGGGCAAGGTGGATGGATGGCATCCTTGAAGTGACTGGACTGACCTTGAAGGAGCTGGGGGTGGTGACGGCCGACAGGGAGCTCTGGTGTGGACTGGTCCATGAGGTCACGAAGAGTCAGAGACGACTGAACGAATGAACAACAACAACATTGTTATTATTACATTGATCATTTTCATAGAATCATAGAATCAAAGAGTTGGAAGAGACCTCTTGGGCCATCCAGTCCAACCCCATTCTGCCAAGAAGCAGATATTGCATTCAAATCACCCCTGACAGATGGCCATCCAGCCTCTGCTTAAAAGCTTCCAAAGAAGGAGCCTCCACCACACTCCGGGGCAGAGAGTTCCACTGCTGAACGGCTCTCACAGTCAGGAAGTTCTTCCTCATGTTCAGGTGGAATCCTCTCTTGTAGTTTGAAGCCATTGTTCCATTGCGTCCTAGTCTCCAAGGAAGCAGAAAACAAGCTTGCTCCCTCCTCCCTGTGGCTTCCTCTCACATATTTATACATGGCTATCATATCTCCTCTCAGCCTTCTCTTCTTCAGGCTAAACATGCCAAGTTCCCTAAGCCGCTCCTCATAGGGCAAGGAAGCAGAAAACAAGCTTGCTCCTCCTCCCTGTGGCTTCCTCTCACATATTTATACATGGCTATCATATCTCCTCTCAGCCTTCTCTTCTTCAGGCTAAACATGCCCAGCTCCTTAAGCCGCTCCTCATAGGGCTTGTTCTCCAGACCCTGGATCATTTTAGTCGCCCTCCTCTGGACACATTCCAGCTTGTCAATATCTCTCTTGAATTGTGGTGCCCAGAATTGGACACAATATTCCAGTGTGGTCTAACCAAAGCAGAATAGAGGGGTAGCATGACTTCCCTAGATCTAGACACTATGCTCCTATTGATGCAGGCCAAAATCCCATTGGCTTTTTTTGCCGCCACATCACATTGTTGGCTCATGTTTAACTTGTTGTCCACGAGGAATCCAAGATCTTTTTCACACGTACTGCTCTCGAGCCAGGCGTCCCCCATTCTGTATCTTTGCATTTCATTTTTTCTGCCAAAGTGGAGTATCTTGCATTTGTCACTGTTGAACTTCATTTTGTTAGTTTTGGCCCTTCATCTCTCTAATCTGTCAAGATCCCTTTGAGTCCTGCTCCTGTCCTCTGGACTATTGGCTATCCCTCCCAATTTGGTGTCGTCTGCAAACTTGATGATCCTGCCTTCTAGCCCTTCATCTAAGTCATTAATAAAGATGTTGAACAGGACCGGGCCCAGGACGGAACCCTGCGGCACTCCACTTGTCACTTCTTTCCAAGATGAAGAGGAAGCATTAGTGAGCACTCTCTGTGTTCGTCCACTTAACCAATTACAGATCCACCTCACCGTAGTTTTGCCTAGCCCACATTGGACTAGGTTCCTTGCCAGAAGGTCATGGGGGACCTTGTCGAAGGCCCTATTCTAATCTATATAAATAAAAATGTAATGTTCGTTTGTGGGAGGAACAGAACTCAAAAACCACTGGACGAATTGACACCAAATTTGGACACAAGACACCTAACAACCCAATGTATGTCCTTCACTCAAAAAAATTTGATTTTGTCATTTGGGAGTTGTAGTTGCTGGGATTTATAGTTCACCTACAATCAAAGTGCATTCTGAACCCCACCAACGATGGAATTGAACCAAACTTGGCACACATTTCTCCCATGACCAACTGAAAATACTGAAAGGGTTTGGTGGGCAGTGTCCTTTGGTTTTGGAGTTGCAGTTCACCTACATTCAGAGATCATTGATGGATCGGGATCAAACTTGGCACAAATACTCAATATGCCCAAATGTGAACACTGGTGGAGTTTGGGGGAAAATAGAATCTTGATATCTGGGGGTTGTAGTTGCTGGGATTTATAGTTCACCTACAATCAAAGAGCATTCTGAACCCCATCAACGATGGAATTGAACCAAACTTGGCACACAGTTCCATGACCAACAGAAAATACTGGAAGGGTTTGGTGGGCAGTGTCCTTTGGTTTTGGAGTTGTAGTTCACCTGCCTCCATAAATCACTGTGGACTCAATGATAGATCTGGACCAAACTTGGCACTGATAATAACAATAACAACAGAGGGGTCGCACTCCCTCTGAAGACACAGGTTTGCAGCTTGGGTGTGACCCTGGATTCGTCGCTGAGCCTGGAGCCCCAGGTCTCAGCAGTGACCAGGGGAGCATTTGCACAGCTCAGGCTCGTGCGCCAGCTGCACCCGTACCTTGGGAAGTCTGACTTGGCCACGGTAGTCCACGCTCTTGTCACATCCCGCCTAGACTACTGCAACGCTCTCTACGTGGGGCTGCCCTTGAAGACGGCCCGGAAACTGCAACTAGTCCAACGCGCGGCAGCCATGATTTCTAACAGGAGCGGAGCGCAGGGAGCACACAACCCCCCTGTTGCACCAGCTCCACTGGCTGCCGATTTGCTACCGGGCCCAATTCAAGGTGTTGGTACTGGTCTATAAAGCCCTAAACGGTTCCGGCCCAAGATACCTATCTGACCGCATCTCGGCCTATGAACCCACCCGGACTTTGAGATCTTCCGGGGAGGCCCTGCTCTCGATCCCGCCGCCTCTCAAGCACGGTTGGCGGGGACGAGGGATAGGGCCTTCTCGGTGGTGGCTCCTCAGCTGTGGAACGCCCTTCCTGTAGACGTTAGGCTGGCACCATCGCTCATGACGTTCCGTAGAAAGCTCAAGACCTGGATGTTTGTGCAGGCGTTTGAGTAATTCAGCGCAAGTGTGGTAATGTGAACATAGGAACGGAACAATGACGACGAATTTGGATCACGTTTGGATGATGAGGCGATCGGGGGATGGGATTTGTGATAATTGTGTATTGTTGATTGTTTATTAGCTATTAATGGAACTGTGTAATTTAACTGTTGTATATTGATTATTGCTGTTTTTATTGTCTTTGCTGTTTGGAAACTGCGGTGAGTCGCCCTCAGGCTTGAGATACAGCGGTATACAAGAATAGTAAATAAATAAATAAATAAAATAAATAAATAACAATTATTATTATTATTATTATTATTATTATTATTATTGATGTGCCCAAATGTGTCAAACCTTTTCAGAGCGGCCCTGTGGGGCTTGTTCTCCCGGCGCGGCTAGGAGTGGAACGGGAGGCGCCTGGCCACACCCACCCGGTGCCGCTCTGCCAATAGCGGGAAGGGAACCCTCTGCTCCGGCCGCTCTGGTCTCCAGAGGACCCA